CACGACCAGCAGCTCCCTCAATCTGAGTTCACAGGTAACCCAAACCTCACTTCAACATCAAAATTATAGGCTCCCGCTTTGAATCACTGGCGTCCACGGAAAGTTCTCCGATAGAGGACATCGTCCTTCCTCAGCTCCATTATTTTGGCATCTGCAGCTATCATGCTGGCGTCAGGGTGGTGGAAGAAAGAGTTTGAGGAAGCGCTTGGAGGGGTCGGTGCCGATGGTAGCGGATAAAATCCTTGTCCATATTACAGCAGAAGAAGAAGAAGCAGGAGTCAAGCGAGTGGTACTAATAGAAAGATCACTCCTTGATGTATAAGTGCTCACATTACCGGTTACCCCTCTTCAGATAATGGGCAAGTATTTTCGAAACAAATGTGACAGAACTCTCCTGCCAACCTAATACATGCCTGCCTGATTGGCCTGGATAACTCTAACGATAAGGCGGATTTAAAAAAATGAACAGTCCGCATGAGATACGTTTACTAGCGCGTTGTTCTCGATTGACCTACATACTTTGCACGCCTTACTGTCACCTTTCCAAAGAAACAGCAAAAATTAGACAAAGACATGGGACATTCAACCAAGCTCGACTAACTAGTAAGGTTCCTACGCCTTCACGGTCAGACCAGAGATCATTCTGTCCTTCTCTCGAGCAAGCGAAATAAAAGACGGGCAACCGATATTCTAAATAAAAATACCATACAAAACGAACTAACCTTTCGGATTCGCTGGAGCTTTCGATGACCTTGACCCGCAAAAATCAACTATCAGACTCCTACCTCCTAACTTCGCTTTAGATAGCATGCCGTGAGCCTAAAATTCACATGTAATTAAGCCTTACTTCGTCTTAGTCTATCGTTAACGGTCATGCAAAATTGAGCACCTTTGTACAGGCAGCTTCATTCCTAAATACTATCCAAGCAAATGACGATCCTCGCCTGTGACGCACAGTTTCAATATCAGCATGTAACTGCTCTAGCTCCTTCGTCTAAAAGAAACAGACAGTACTTTAGACAAGACCTTGGTCCATAGTTCAATACAAATATCGCGTTGGTCTTTACCACATTGACTACATTGTTTCTCGACGCTAGGAAAGCAGCTTTTTTGTCCATGAGAGACATGGCATCCCAAACTTCGGAAGCGTCGTGGTGGTAAAGTAAAAAAAACCATTTTGAATGCATTTCAAATTTTCAACAACAACGTTGTCCAGGAAGGTGCTGTAAAATATACGGTGGCTGTAATCCATGCAGTTGTGTTACTGTGGGTATTTTACATAGATGATACACCGAAGTGATTTCTTTGAAAAAGGGGATTTTCGGAGTTGTAAAACGGGGCTCTATATGCAGATAGCTAATGTGCCTATTTATTTCTCACAATTACTGGATCGGATCCCCTTGCGACAATGCCGTTTTGCAAGCTTGCTCCCACGTTCCACGCAGACGAGGTGGTTTCATGAAGATTTGTCGTTTATCTTAAAAGTTACCGAAACCAGCGAAGCCTTTTATTCTTAATAGAAGCGATGATAATCGCGCTATGTACCCGGTCGTATAAGAGCAGTACAAAGGTACTCAGTGCAAAAGCTCTTGAACTGAGATACCGAAAATGTCAAGCAGGAAATAAACTTTTTGGAGTACGAAATTATGAGCAATTTGAATCGAAGTTTCATTTGCTGCTATAATGAATGAGTGAACACACATCGTCGTGAACAAACCTTTGTATTTTTTGGGAAACCCTTGATGAACAATGAACGCTCATCGCGTTCTTGACGACGCTTGTTTTCCTCGTCCACAATGATGCTTTCATCCAACTAAAAGAATCAATTGCTGTCACTCATTGCCAGTAATATGAAAAACTCTCTGGAAAAACGAACCTTTATATGCTTTGTGGGCTGATCATTATCAACAGCCTTCCTCTTAACACCTTGTTGAGGCGTTTGTTGTTTCGATACAACCTAAACGAGAAACTGCGTCAGTGAATCTCTCATTACCATAAAGAAAGAAGCAGATCACGCACCGGTACTTTCACTTCTTCAACTTTTTTGGGTGGCGGTTTTACCTCAACAGGTTTTTTAGGTTGAGATTTCGGAGTCACTTCTTCCTAAATGATTGCACTCATAAGATGACCATATTCTTCGAAATTCCCATCAACTCGTGTTCAAGACCCGAACAAATACGGCTGAACCATCATTACCAAGAGAAATAGAAAATTCTTTGCAGCGGAGAGACGTGCTTGTCACAAAAACCTGATTTCTTATTCAATGGAAGGGTCCTTCATAATAGGTCAACTTGCTCCTATGAAAAATACATCTGCAACAAAATATTACATTACCTCTTCCTCGTCTTCATCCTCTTCTTCTTCTTCGTCTTCGTCTTCCTCTTCGTCCTCATCAGCATCAGCTCCAGCGTCCGCTCCGTTCTCATCGTCCATTTCCTCCTCTTCGTCCTCCTCCTCATCATCATCACTACTATCATCATCGAAATTCAGCGTTGGCTTGAGCGTTTCTTTACCAAGCACCCCTTTCTTTTGAGGATGAGGAGTTGGCGGTATTTTTTTGGAAGAAGTAACCGGAGTTGCCGCAGCAGAAACATCGACCTTCTTTTTAACATCTGTCGATTTCCCACTTTTCAAAGCACTCTTCTTATCTTCCGCCTGTTTTTGCTTTACAGCTGGCGTTCTCATGATGGGTTCAACTTGTTCCTCATCTTCATCGCTTTCTTCGTCTTCCTCTTCCTTAAAAATAGAAATACGATGTAACGAAAGAACTCGAAAATTAGCATTACCACCTACCTCATCCTCTTCATCCTCCTCATCGTCATCGTCTTCCTCTTCGTCATCTTCAACCGCGGGCCGTTTCAACTTACTAGGCCCGTTGGCGTTTTTGGGTGTGACCGCTGCAAATTCAGAATAACAAAGAACTGTTCTATGGATGAGATGAATGTTACAAAACTATAAAGTTACGGTGTTTCCGTTCCATTTTTCTCTGATGTGGCCAACAGGCGAACCAAACAAAGCCTTCGCAGCTGGTCAATCCCCTCGGAGGATGCGGCACTCCCATTCAGAATCGTCATGGCTCATTATATAATAACTTGCGGTGGCCAGCCGATAGAGGGTAAAAGGCTCGGTTGGCCTGGGCACGAGTCGAACCGAGATTTGAACCCGGCGCCGCGCGAGTGGTAGGGCAGCGTTCAGACTTCGCGACGGCAGCGCTTCGGTCGCGCGTTCGACGCGATCGATGCGCATGCTTTCGACTGCATCGATCGCGTCGAACGCGCGACCGAAGCGCTGCCGTCGCGAAGTCTGAACGCTGCCTAAGCGCGCCACTTGTCATACACCACCTCCGCCTCTTTGAAGACATGAGACACGATAATTTGCTACTTGGTCCAAAATGGTACCAGGGGTACTATATAGTGGGGAAAATGACGAAAAAGCGAGTGAAAAGGTCAAATACCTGCATGCGTTGTTCTACAAGACCTGGGAAGCAATTTCGGACGAGTCTCCCGTTGGCATCGTGCGAATGGACGCTACTGTAGATACGGCTGCACATATGCACTCATATATCCATACAGTACCGCAGTCGCATCGTATTGTACATCGCAGATGGAGAGATGCGAGCAACAGCATCGGTTGAACGTTTATGGGCGTTCGGGTTGGTATGTTGCAGCTAGATAGTGGCGCTATAAGGGTAGCTTCTTCGGAAAGCCGCCATGCAGCGCCTGCGCTGGGGCGCCGATTATGTCCTATTAGGCGTATTTGCCACTTGCCTTTGGGTGAATGGTCGAATTAAAATTATTATCGCGCACTGAACATGCTAAGTTGCCAAGTAAGCGATCGGCGGCCTCCTCTCCCGGCCTACACAGTTCTCGTTTAAACA